TCTCTCTCTCTCTCTCTCTCTCTCTCTCTCTCTCTCTCTCTCTCTCTCTCTCTCTCTCTCTCTCTCTCTGTCCCTCTCCTTTCTTTGTCTCTCTCTATATATATTTCTATCTTTCTCCCTTTCTTTATACTCCTATCTGTTTATGGTTCGCTCTCTGCCCCGCCCTTCTACCTCTCTCTCTTTCTTCCTTGCACTCCTTCAGTTTCCTTGTAGAATCCAATCAAGTCTTCTGCTTTGCATGACATATATAATATGCATATATGTCATGTTGCTAGACATAATTATAATACATCTAATGGAATATCTAAATAAAAGATAATGCAACTCGCCCTTCCATTAATAATGTATTCTTTAATTTTCGTAATTTGCATTCCTGCAGACCTCAAGTCTTCGGATTTGCACTCGAGCCTCGCTGGAGCTCATTGATTTATTTGTCTAAGCTGTGGATGCAACACATTAAGCGCTGACATATGTACGCAATATACGCTTCGGCCGTAATATATGATTGGGCTTTGTGCTGGGTGTGGCAGAGCTGTCGTGCCATGGGACTTTTGGGCATATGTATTTTTATTAGAGCTATAATTGAAGTTTAACTGCGCATGTAATAATGGCAATTTTAGCTATTTTCAACGCATTAGCGGCATAAATAATACAAGTCGAATGCGAATGGGCGACATAAAGACACGCTATATGGCTGGCCATTTCTTCCAGCGACAGCAACTCGAAAGGCAGCGAAAGTGGACGAAATGCGATCTAGGCAAAGGCAAAGGCAAAGGCAAAGGCAAAGGCAGGAGCAAAGGCAAAGGCAAAGGCAAAGGCAAAGGCGCAAAGCATTACCAATTGCTATATAGCTATGCAGTACAGTAGCACATATATATATGTGTGACATGTGCCACACCCCTCAAGTAGCTGGTTGGCCATGTATTGCCCGCAGCTCGACGCCCACAAACAAACGATGGCGACTTATTCATTGCGCTTGCCATTAAGGTGGCTCTGATGCGGTTACTTTTGCTGCTGCTGCTGCTGCTGCTGCTACGACTGTGATATATAACACGCTCATAATTGGTCATAAATCTGACAAATGTAATTTGTCATCACTCAGGCTGCAGCCAGCTCAGGCGAGCGTGGCGGCATGTAGAATGGGCCCTCAGTTGGACCTGGCCACGCTTTGCTGAGTGCCAAAATGAAAAAGGTGCTTGACACAAAATGTCAGCTGGATATTTTTTATTACACAATCACAACACACACGCACAGACACCCCAGCACACAGACGATTTTCTATGAGCGCCTAAAAGTATGCTCAAGCTCTTCACTCGCACACACACAAGCAGCTTGGGCATAGCATCACACGTAAGCCACAAAGTAGTTACTTTTTATGCTTTCCGCTTTTGGGCATTGTTTTTGCAATAGCTTTGGTCACTTCAGCTCGTAAATATTTTACAAGTTCTTCATTGCGCCGGCGGGTTTCGTCTTCCTGGCTCGCCCGCGCCCACTTGTGTCTCCAGCTAACTAATTTTTGCTTTTATAGATGACGTACGACTTATTCGGGTGCAGGTTCAACATCTACATTTCATTATAAATGACTTTCAAAATGGCCTAAACGTTCCAAATGAACTAACTGCCTCCTCCAACCACCCTGCCCCCTCCCATCGCTTCGGTATTCGATTTTAATGATGATGCCACTTGGGCGGCCATCAATAAACGCTTGCAAATTTATGGGAATTAAGTTGCCGCATAATGAGTAAATAAGGCTGCTGGGTAACCAATATATATAAATATAAATATATAAATATATATATCTATAAAGATAGGGCTGTTATTATATCTCTATATATTTAGCTTAATAAGTCTATTTAGCCGCTGTGCAAGTAAAAGTTTATTTATAATAAATTTATATGCTTACCAATATTTATTGGAATTTCGCTATGCCTAAAAAAATTAATTATTGCTGCCTATTCAATAAATAGCCAAAAAAGTCAATCAAAATTTATTTCCTAATATATGAAATATGCTTTGAAGTCTGCGCTCTTCAAGAGAAAAATGATATTTGCAATTTCACATAATATTCCCACAAATAAATGTTCTATTATTTATTATTCAATGCGATAACATACATTAAAGGTCAAGGTAAAGGTAGCATACTAAAGTTGAAAGGTCACAGACCCTTGTGCTTTGCTTCTTTAGAAACTTTTTCTTTCATGATTTATTTATTACGCAGAAAAGTGAAATTATCGAATGCGCCATGTTCCATAATTTGTTAAGAATTAAGTGTGCTATTTAAGAAATATATTTGTATACCTATTGTATTTAGGGTATATTGATTCTGTGCAAAATACATGCAACAGACTGTAGTAGACGTGGCAGACCCCATAAAGTATTTATATTCTTGATAGGGACAAGTCAAGCCTGAGAAAAAGCTTTTGAATAGGAGTATGAGGAAAAGTAGGCGGCCATACGGGAGAGAGAAACATCCATCCAGATGCATAATGTGTAATCAGCAGCAACAACTTCGCTTCAACTTGAAAGTAAAGTGGTGAGAATAGCTGCACAAGCATAAGCTCAATGATTAATAGATCTGAATCTAAATCTGAAACTGAATAACAGATCTAAAGCTGCGACACAAGCATCTTGATTTCTAGTACAATCGAATTCTTGATTGCAGTTCAAGTCGCACTCTTGGCTTCAGGCAAATTCAGCAGGTCTGTATCTCTGCCGAGAAATATATATATATATAATATATGGAACGTATATTGCGCTGACGATAAACATTTGGAATAAATAGAAAAGAAACCTGAATAAACCAAGTTTATTATTGCCGATTTATTAAATATTTTTAAATTTAATTTAAGCTATTATCAATTGTCAAATTTTCAAAAATATTTTTTCTTATAGCTATTGAAAACTTCACTTGCTGATTCGACAGCTGAATCTAAGCATTTTCTATCTAATATAAAAAATATTTTTATCCAACAGATACAGAATACAAAATACTCTAAAAGACTAAACCAAATGATGTATGTAGTCCTTGAAAATTTATTTAACTAGACATATAACCAGAAGCAGAGTCCTCTATGCAGTTTTTCATACCTTTCTTCTTTACAAAGTATCCAACTTGATCTAGAAATTGTTGTTAATCTATGAATGAACTTCAGCTTAATGCTTTGAGCTACGTGCCATATCAGGGCCTAGCGAAAGGCGAAACAATCATCGCATGCTTTTATTTAAGCAATTTCTATTACGCCTCGAGTTGTTGTTGTTGTTGTTGTTTTTCTCAAGGCAGCGCTGGCAATGCATTCTCATAGTTGATTCGAGGCCTTTGATACATGCTTAGACATGACCGGCAAATGGGTCAGCAGATTCGCATCTTTGGCCAGATCTGTGGATCACGTTGTACGTGACTATGCCCACTATATATAGTATATATATATAGTAAGTCAAGCAGAGATCGCGTATGCTGCAAATTTTTTGTATATATTTAGTTAGTTGTGCGGGGCAAATGAAATTTGATGCGACACATTTGGCAAATTGGCTCTGAGATACATGTGGAATACACTTATATATATATATATATATATATATATATATATTTATATTGTGCTGCTGTTGTTTATGCTGCCTGGGCTCGAGAAAATCCGAGAATTTGAGTGCGACTCAATTGGTGGCAATTGAATTATTACACGACGACACTCATTCAATTTTCTCTGATATGAAGGGGGGAAGGGAGCAGGAGGGGGTGGCTGTTGGGGGGTGCACACATACACACATGTATGTATTTCAGTCACTGGCAGTGCTGTCAAATCCGAAATTGTGTGACACGTAAAATGGTCTGACATTTGACATGACTGCAGCTATTCACCTGATGCCCTACTCAGACTGTCAATTTTATTTACCAATTCGCGTTCCATTTGAAATGGATCAATTTTTGCGAAATGTTTTCGTGTTTGTTTACATAAATGAAATATTATATTTTATATATATAAATATTTATATATATATAAATTATAAATAAATCTCCGTAAAAATAAATAATGAAATTGTATATCTTTTTATATATTTGTATAATCTTGTATATATAATATATATATATTTTATTTTATTACAAATTAAATACATATATGTATCAACAATGATATATATGTATATATTTAAAATTTCTAATTGTTAAAAAAAAAACAAATAATTAAATTTAAAAATTATTTAAAAGAAAAAAAATAAAACAAAAATTAAAATGGAAATTTCATAATTTATGTAACATTTTTTTCTCTGTAAAATCATTAATGTGACCTTTTATTGGCATTATTGTTATTAAAATTTTGAGAGTTATTTCATACATTATCTAAAAATTCTTTCAATAAAAAAAAAACAATTTGCTCTACTTGATCCAATGAAAATCTTGATTCAATCATGAATTGATGCATAAAATTGACAAATTATTATTAATGTTTCTTACTCTTTGTGTTTATTTTAATTATTATTATTATTTAATAATATAAAAAATAGAGATTTTGCCTTTTAATATATTTTTTAACATAAACTTTTTAAATTTTTTGCTCACTTTTATTAACAACTGCATTTACCTTTCCTTTTATTGTGGACTTCATAGCCTTATGTTTTTCGCTTATTTTAAATCTTAAATATTTTCTGCTGATAATGTATTACATATAAAATGCCCTCAAATTTATAAATGCATATTTTGTCGCTTAAGATTGAAATTTAAAGAAAAAACTAAAACTTATCTTTGTTAAATTACATTTTTCAAAATTCAGGACTTCAAATGCTATCGCCTATATAAATGCTTTAAAAAGCTTTAAGATTAACATAAAAATAATCCTCAGTTACCCATTAGCAGATTAATTCGCATCTAAAAGAATCTCTTAATACGTGTCTATTTATATGCCCTGCACCTGAAACCGTAGCGCATCTGCCCACGCATTTGATGAGTTGCCTGAGATATAGGCGCCTAGCTGCTGCCTCCATGCCTCCAGTTTGATTGTGCTTATTGCCAGGTGCAGTTGCGAAAAGTATGAAACAGGCGTGTACTCTGCTCTGTCTGGTGCTCTTGACAGCCAGCCTGGCGGTGCCCAGTGCGGCACGTGGCGGCCGTGGACGCGGCGGCGGCTCTTTCGGTGGCCTCTTCGGCGGCTGGCGTAGCAAGTACGGCAGCAAATCGTCGTCGTCCGGCGGTGGACGACGCGTGGTCAGCGGCTCACCGGTGCACACGGCGATGACGGTGCCAAAGCTGCCGCCACCGCCACCGCCGCCACTGTCGACCAAGGTTAAACCACATGTGGTCAGCTATCCACATCAACAGCCACCGCCACCGCCGGGCTACGGCTATGCGCCAGCTGTGGGACAGGGCACGTACTATGCGAATGCCCAGGCTATGCCCGCCGGCGCCTTCTACTACGCACAGCCGCCCACGTCAATGGGCATGGGTTCAGGTGAGTGACTGCAGCAGCTCACTAATGGCAATTGCTCAGAGCTCTGTCTGCCTTCAGGCACAGGTTTTCTGACTGGTCTGCTGGCTGGCCGACTGATGGACAACGTGCTCTTCGGGCATCGCCAGCATGTGTCGCATGTCTACCATCAGAATCAGGAGGGTCAATCAGCTTCCGACAATGGTCGTGAGATCATAATTATCAACAATGGACAGCAGCAAGGCGAAGGCGAAACGGAGCTGCCGCCCAATGAATCACTAGGCACAGAAGACGGAAGTGTCACCCCAGAGAATCCACTCGCAAAAGAAGAAGAAGCAGAGCAGGAAGCAGACTCCAGTGAGGAGGCAGCCAATGCTACTGCACTGCCCGAAATGCCAGTTGGAGGCATCATCTGCTTTCCCATCATGCGAAATGACACGGATTCAGAGAATACGGTGACGGAAGTGGCTTGCTTTCCAGCGCCCACCGCAGATCCACAATCAGCTGATTGTCAAAATGATCCTATCTGCCTGTTACAGTATGGCGGCACCACCACTAGCACAGTGCCACCAATTGTTGCAGGCGATATTGGTGGTGCAGGTGAAGCCAGTGATTCCCTGGAAGTATCCACTCCCTCGGCGGATATCAATACTCCACATGATTAGTCATTAAATTAGGCTTTAAGCTCAGCTGATAATAAATATTCATTTAATTGCTGATTAAGCTAAGGGAATTTCTTAAATAATTTCTTCGAAATGATTTTCTATGACATATAAACATATATATAGAAATAAACAATATAACTAACTTTGGGAGAGTTTCGCAAATAGACAAGCTTTTATTAACAGCCAAAAGCTTAGTTTCAAAAGCGCGGTTAAGCTTTAAAAGCTATAAAATACAATGTTTTTGCAATAACGGAAACTAGCTTCAAAGTGGCTGGCACTGCAGCGTCATAAATGATGACAGTTGTTCCTGGAGTCACGCCAACAACAACAAGAGCAACAACAGTAGCCACAATAAAACAACAGGCCACACCGAATTGTAACGACAGCAAAAACGACAAATGCGAAGGCTCAGCGCACAAACTGAAAGACAAACGCTTCGGCGACAGCGACGCCAGCGCAGTCAGCAATGTCAGATGCCGACCGCAGTCATAAACTGTTCAGCACGACCACCAATACAAAAGCAATTACATCCTACATGTGAGTGTGCAAGTTCTTGCTGTGGGTGATGATCCAAGAACACGAATAAAGCTCACTTGCGTTCATTAATCCCATAATAACAAGGGGGAACTGTAATAAACAAAGTTACGTCGCGGTCTTTGATTATCAGCGGCTGGACACACTGAGCTAATCATTCACATTGTTACACTTCAAGCAAAAAAAAAAAAATAAAAAGAAAAATTCAAAAACAAAATATGTAAAATAAAATATTAATAATTATAAAAATAATTAATATACTTAAAATCAAATATATATAATATAAACATCTTAATAATATTTAACTATTCACATTTTTTTATTTATTAATATTTAAACTTAGACGTTTACCGCTTAGCTTAGTTTTTAATAAAAACTTTTTTTCTAGCTCTGTAAATATATGTACATACAAGTGCATATGTATGTACATACATATGTACTTAGCATTCAAGATTCTTATCAATCAAGCTTAATCACGCGAGATTTCATATGTATATATTTGCATATGCATATGTAACTGCGTAGGTTGGTTAACTAAAATGCGTGAATGATATCATAGCATTGGTAATTCAGGAGCAGTAGCGGAGCAGTCTGACACTCTCCATCTCTCTCGATCCAACATTCAAACTAAAGCCTAAAATTAAATAAAAACGGTAAAACTAAACTACTCCCATGGGACATAAAAAGCACACACGTACATGCAGAGAGAGAGCGAGAGAACGGGAATGAGAGCAAACAGAGATGACAAATACAGCAACTGAAATAAAAATGACAACAACAACTAAAACAGCAGCAACAGCCGCAACGACAACAACAAACAAACGAAAGCACACCAACAAGTTGCGGTCGCCGTCGCAGTCGACGCGCTACGCTCGCGGTCCGCGGCGAACTGAACACAAGCCAAACACGTCAAATAAAAAATACTCAACCGCATTTCAGTTGTTTGAGAAACTTTGCACGGAACTAAGCTCGAGCGCGGCGGCCAAACAAAAGAATTAAACAATATTAAAATCAAGTAAATACATGACTTTTTAAAGTACATATATACATCATTAAAGAACTGCAAGCGCTTTAAAATAAATTCGTATCTAAGTGCGCAGCAATGGGTGGTATTGAGACAAAACCTGTTTTGTGATAAATTAAATACATGTACACATATATATGTATATATATATACATATATGTATATTTATACATACTTCTTATTCTTAAGCAAGTGCATCGGTTAAAATTTTGTTTGTACCGTTTGGTCAATAAACAAAATTAATAATCAAGGTCAACAATGCGAAATTGTGTATGGAAAGACATACATACATATATGTACATATAAATATATACATATATATTTGGTCGTTAGTCCAAACAAAGCAAAAGCTCAAGAAACAAAAACTCAAACCAAAGCAATTAAGCTCTTTAACATTATATATATATATATATATATATATATATATATATATATATGTATATACACATATATATAAAAATATATATTCCTTAAGTATCATGAGTTTAAGTATCCATATAGGTACATACATACATATGTATTACAATATTTGATTAAGCATTATTTGATATTGAAATGCCCTAATAATACTCTAGTTTTAACATGTGTTTAGTTATTATTATTTATCATTATTTTTACCATTTATCATATCTTAGATAGTGTTCATAGTTTAAAAAAGTTGAACGTGAAATTTTTTAACATTTCGAAAATGTGTATTATTATTCTGTACAGCTTTTTAGCTTTAGAAGTTCTGTATAAGATGATCTTCTAAAAGTCTTATATGACAAGTAACTCTATCAGATAAGAAGCTTTTAGCTTGAAGTGAGCAAGTAAGAATTTAAAATGAAATGTTTTAAATTGCTGACTCTTGATATATTTACGCTTTTTAATAGCATTTGGAAGAGTCCAAATGTTTTCCTTTAATTTTTCACCAATGCATCCATTTATATAAAACTGTCAACAGCTGAAACTTAAATTGTTTTTATTTTTATTTGTTTTTTATATATATATCTGTATTGTGCATTCAACAGGTTTGTCTAAATTTAGCTAGTTCTAAATTTTGTTGTTGCTTTTAGCTCTCGCTTGTTGTCGCACCTTTTAGAAATCCAGGGGGAATCTTAGGGACTGTAAAAAACGATCCGTCTAATGGATTCTGGTCTATTATTTTAATGCTTTTTTTAAGAAAATTTTAAAACACCTTTGGAATATTTTAAATAGTTTCTGACAAATAAAAATGCGTAGTTTCATTTCGAAGTCTATAATTTAATATGATTTATAAATATATATGTATGTTGGTATACATTTGGGCATATATACCCGACTAATATTAATAGTCACAGCTGCTGAAATTTATAGTCATGCATACCCGTTCCACATGTAAGACGGCTGAGTAAACAACCTGAGCCATGAGCGATCAAAACAGTTTCTTTTAGCGCACCCGCGCATTACTAACCGGTTAGTAATCCACTTTTGGAAGCCCAATTAATTTTAAGTCTCGTTTTTAGCGGCCAAATTTTTTGCCTTTATTTTTGATATTTTATTTTTTTTTTGCTATTTCTGATTCGTTGAAGTTTGTATAACATTAGCTTTTCTTTCGAAAGTCTGTCAATCTTGCGTAACTACGAAATTCCCCGAGTTAGAGCGTAAAAAATCAAAACAAAGCTTTAACAACATTTGAAAATGTATAACAAAAGTAAATAAATTGTTTTGATTCATAATATTTACGATTAGCACAGACATATTGATATAGTAAATAAAGCCATGCTTGACTCTTTGAACTTCAACAATGATAAGCCTACAAATATTCGCTATGTTCTATAGACTTATATAGCGTGTATTGTACAGTTTACCTATTGAGCGACTAGATTGTTGATTTCCAAGAAATATTCTATTGAAACTGCGTGTAAAACAAAAATAATTACCAGATTTTTAGCCTGCATCCGCTGACATCACAAAACAACTTTCTGGCTCAATATATGCTGTGGGATGAGTCATCAAAAAATCGCTTTTTTGCTTAGCTCGTGCAAACTGCAGTAAACAAATGCATTTATTATAAACAATTGTCTGCTGTGGTTTCAGTACAGACTGCAAAAAGTTAATTGCATGCATATTAGATGGTAGAGATAGGGTCTGTATATATATATATATATATATATGGATTACAGAAAACCAGCATGGCATCGACTTACCACAGATTTGATTTCTATTTTTGTAATTCTAAACTTGTATAATACGAGACTATGAAAACTTGTGTTTAACATTGTTTAAATATATATATTATTATTATATATATATCTGCAGTATATACCTATACCAAAAGGCACTTGCTATAGCTTTTACATTGTTGGTTATTTATGGTTTCTGTAATGCGATACTTACAAAACCAGACTAATTAGTAGAAGTGTTCCTTTCAAACTTGATTTGCTTGCTTTGGAACGATAATCGAACAGAATCTAAACAGCTCTTGCTTATAAGTATTAAAGCGGAATAGAGAGTTAACATTTAACATTTGCAGAATCTCATATTTAATTCATTATGCTTAAGGGAATTGCATTGAATTATTTATATATAAGAACCAAATTTTAAATTGAGAAATATCTTTTAGCGTAATCAAAATTTTTCTGATATCTTCCAGCCTTATATGGTTAATTTTCTAGATGTTTGCATTTTTATTATATACTTACAAAGTGATCCGCATTTCTATATAAAAGAAATTTATATAATTGCGAGACATATCAAAGATCATAAAACTTAAGAATGCAACGCTCTTAGCAAATAAATTAAATTTCAATCAATTTATTTTTAGAAAAGTTTAAATTTATTTTCCCATTTTCAATTAAGATCTTTTTAAATGTTGTTTAAATATATTTTAATGAATTGAAATTTATTAGAATTTCATAATATTGAAACTTCTGATAAACTTATTCAACATATCTTTTTTTAAAAAATGGACTTATAATATGAATTTATTCTTCTCTTAATCCTTATTTTGCCCACTTTTTATGACGTTTTTATGGGCGGAAAAACCAAGCACTCCCACCTTACATTAATTTCAATTCATACTTATAAGTCCGCCAGCTAATGTTTGACCTCAGCCTGTAGAAGCGCTTAGAGGCCAAAGAGCCAATGGAGTGTAGCCACGCGACAAGCCAAGCAAATCGCCAAGTTCGTTAATTATTGTCATGGATAACGCGCCCCAAAAATTGGGGCAGACACCCAAAAGTGGCAGTGCAGGGCGTCACATTGCGTCAGCGCCAAATGCTGAGCTGTGCCCCAAAACAATGACGCAAATCCATCTAGAAGTATATATAGAACTGGCAACTCTTGGCTCTAATAATACCCCAAATATGCACTGAGCGTGAATTTTTAATCGAGGGGCGAATGCCAGAGGTATTGGATCGTAGTACCTACATTCGGCCCACTGGGTGACTAGTGGGGCTATCATTAGCGCAAATTGAATAGATTGTTTATGCAAACAACAAATTAAAGCGCGCGGGCACAAATGAAGAGTGACAACGGGCGAGATCGTGATAGGCAAAGGTTTTTTTCTGGTTTGTAATTTATTTGTAAATAGTGATGGGTGGGCGAACGAGCTAATAGTCGATAAGTAATTATCGATTGAATTGTGAGCAACTAAATCGAATTAGTCCTGAAAATATATAAATATAAGAGAATATTTAGCATTTATATAATATTTATTTTATGTATTCATTTATAATTTATTTATAATATTCATTTAATTAAATTTTAAATAATTAAATATAAAATATTTAAATATTTAATTAAATTTATTTAATTAATATTTATCGATAACATTTGCAGATGGTTTTTGGCTTTGCAAAATAATATTATAATAATACAACACTTTAAAAAATATGTTACGATTTATAGCAATGTTATTATTTAGCGAAATACACTGATCTTTGATTTAATTTCTTTTTCAATTTTTAATCAATCTTTATCACTGAAAATATATATTTAATAGCACTTCATGCGTATATGTTATCGAAATGAGGTCCTTTTATTGAAAAGGACCAGAAAAAATTTAATTTATAATTTATAATTTTTTCTTATATATGTTTTTATATATTTTAAATTAATTAAACTTTCTTAAAAATATGTTATATTTGAATATATTTTTGTAGGTATGTGTTTGAAGGATTTTACTATTAAAATATATATTATTTCTTATCTAATATTAAGTTTTTCAATTATTTTTATTATTTATTCATCTAATATATATTTTTGTAAATGTGAATTTTTAGTTTTAAAATAATTTCTTTAATTTATCTCCGGCATTTATTTTATATATATATATATATATATATATATATATATATATATATATATATATACATATATTTTTTTTGTTTTTGCCATCCCTAGATTCCTTATCGCAGATCTCTGCGCTTACAGCCAAGCACAGGGTAAATCAGTGTGTTTAGTGGGGTATTTCAATTTTATTTTGCTCTCGTTGTACAGTCCACTTGAATCTGTTGATAATCAGTGAAGCTATTTAAGCGTTCCAGGCAGGCGACAGCAGCTTAGTCAAAGTCTAGCGGCCCAAGCAACATATAGAGATTGTTTTCCAACTGAGACTTACGTGTGCTTCGCTCTCTCTCTTTCTCTCTCTCTCCGTTGCAGCATGTCGCAGAATCATCCCTGGCGACTTAGCAGTTGGACTCTTCTGTTGGGTCTGCTGATCCTGTTGCTGGCCAGTCCGGATGCGCAGGCCAAGCGCTGGTTTGGCGGCGGCAGCAAGAGTCGTTCATCCAGCTCGAGCAGCTACTCGGCGCGACGACCGTCCTCTTCATCGTCCTCCTCGCACTCCGGCTCGTATAGTCATGCGGATAATACGCGACTCAGCTACGGCGGTGGCACCCACGCACAGCCCAGCCACACGCAGCATTCGGTTTCACGGCCAGCTACGGCCTCGCCCATAGGCTGGAATGTGCCGCCTAAGGCACAGGGTCCGCCACCTGCCTATTCTGCTCAGAATCCAGCTGGTGGTGCGCGCACCAATGTACACGAACCACCGCCAGCCTACAACCCGTCGTACAAGGCCAGTGCACCACCGCCAAGCTACTCGGCGGCCAACAGCAACGCACGACCAGCAGCCGGCGGCAGCTCAGCCAGCAGCAATCCACACTACACGCCCGCCAGCGTCTACAGGCCACGCATGAACGCCACTGGCGGTGGCGGTGGCTATCATACGCCCATTACGGCCACCAATACGCACGGCGTACAGTCTAGCTATCCGGGCGCCACGTATCACAGTCCTGGAAACTTGCCCGCTGGTGCCACCTACCATCCGTCGGGTCAGCTGCCCGCTGGAGCTACCTATCACAGCCCGGGCGCCTTGCCCGCTGGCGCTACCTATCATAGTCCAGGTTCTTATCCCGCTGGTGCAACCTACCATAGCCCTGGGGCCCTGCCCGCTGGTGCCACCTATCATAGCCCAGGTGCTCTGCCAGCTGGCGCTAGCTATCATCCTGGCGGCTATGCGCCTCCTGGCGCTAGCTATCATCCGGCCGGTCAGATACCAGCGGGCGCCAGCTATTATCCCAGCGGAGGCGTGCCCCACGGCGCCACATACTATCCCCAGGCGCCAGTTGCTGCGATGCCGGCAAGTGCCACCTTTTTGCCAGCTGGAGCCGGCCTGCCGCCAGGTGCTACCTACTATCCACAGCCGCCCAAGTCCTCATCCGGTCTGGGTTTGGGTAAGTACTGAAAGGCTTCTGCTTGAGCTTCCTTAACGCTTCTCTCTTTTGCAGGAACTGGTCTTGTTGCTGGCGCTCTTGGAGGTGCCATTTTGGGCCACGTTCTCACGCCCACACAGACGCGCGTCGTTGAGCAGGCACCGATGTCTGGCGGCTATGCAGGCGGCGGTGGCGGCCACGGCAATGGCGGTGACGATAAGATCATTATCATCAACAATGGACCACCTGGCTCGGTGACCACAACTGATGCTGGCTCGGGCACCACAGTTATCAACACGGGTGCCGGACAGCCCGCCGTGGCACCTGCTGCAGCACCTTTGCCCGCGCAGCCAGTGCCAGGCGTAGCAGCTCCTGCGGAGGTTCCAGGCCAAACACCACTCGCTCCACTTACACCGCCAGCTGCTGATGCCGGCGCCGTCGTGCCGCCAGCTGTTGGCGCCGCGGTTACCAATGCTGCAGCACCAGGTGCGGCTGGTGTGCCTCCTCCTGCGCCAGCTGCAGCTGATCCGAACGCTGCACCACCCGCACCCGGTGGCATCATCTGTGTGCCTGTGCGTGTGCCCGAACCAGATCCGAAAGATGCCACTAAGACGATCGAAGTGGAGAAGATTGCTTGCTATCCGGCACCACCGCCAGAGGCAGCAGCACCACCAGCACCAGCAAATGGCACAGCACCTGCTGCAGTACCCAGCGCAGCTCCCGCTGCTGTGGCCGCCGCCGTGCCCACTTCAACCCCTGCTTCGGACGTGGCGCCTCTTGCGCCCTTCCAGACGACTACGCCCTTGACAGTGCCGGAGGGATCTGTGCCACTGGCGCCCTTGTTGCCGGGCGGTCACCCAGATGTGATGCGCATGCCCGGCTTGACGTCAGCGCGTCTGTCTGCGGAATCGGGTCTGCATGATGAGCACAATGGAAAGAAGCGGATGTCCGAGTTGAGTACGCTCTCCGCCCTGCTGACAGTGCTCGTGGCCTACTGCCTGCACTAAGCAGCCAGCGGCACAGCGGGTAATTAAAGCCAAATGGTAGCCACTCAGCAGAGCAGATTCTGCGCTTGAACGAGTTTCATACAAAGTCGCTGAATCGCCACTTTCTATATTTTGTAAACTAAGCGAATTTCTGGATATTCATTTATGCATGTGTGTACTCATAGCTTTTGTGTTAGATTTACATAAACTAAAATAAACCGTAATTAATATTTAAATAATTACATAAAATTGGAAATTGCGCTGTATGGCTGTAGCCATCTAGTGTAGATGAGCTACATTATACGCCATCTGTCGACTGCAAATATGAGTCTCATTTATTTCTCGGAACTTGACTAAAATCTTAACGTAAAACCATTATAGTGAGTGCAGGCACATATACGTTCAGTTTCCATTTCGATGACTTGTTTCGATCAAATATTTAGTTCGTGCAGCAACCTCTGTGTAGAAACTTAACGAGTGAAGCTGCTGGCAGCTCCGCACAGTGTTACACAGTTTTAATAAATGTATACCTTTATCTGAAAGTCTTATAAATAGCAAGTGCATGAACCGTAATTCTTACTTACGAAGCCGAGCAGTATATTAGTGAGTATAGGGCTTTAGCTGAAAGCTTTATAAGTAGCTGGTACACGAACCATAATTCTTACCTGAAATTGTAGCTGAATATTTCTAAGACTTTCTTATTAGACTTATTAAATATTCCACAATAATTTATTTACAAATTTATTTTAAATTTAACATTTTGCTTAAGTACAATTATAATGTGTATACATAGTTTGTGTTGCTGGCCAATATCAACAATAACCACATTTCTCGGTCTCCTATCCTTTTTCTTTTAATTTTCTGTTTTCTTCTGCTTCATAGATATTAATGATATTTAAATGTTGTTTACAAAAAAGTTCTATTTGTGCCTTCGTGCATGCTGATAATGTACAATCAATAGCAAAACGGTCTACCAATACTTCCTCATAAACTTGCGGCTAACACGAACAGGGCGCTACGAGGTGCGTCCGAAAAATTTTCTAGGCAGCAAGAAAAATTTATTTAATATTTAAATAATTAAATGTAGGAAAACAATTTCAGAAAAGTTGGAAATTAAATATGATTAATAACAGGAAGATATATATATTTATGAATTAAAAATATTAATAAATATCTAAGAATATATGTCGAGATCTTACAGCTTGAGAAAGATTCTTGTCTCAATTCTTATCTATAATCAACATTCGCTGTGTGTCGCCTCAGCAGCAGCTGCATCCAAGCGGTTCGAGCGATGCTATCGAAGAGCACAAAGTAAACGAAGAGTACAAAACCGTGAAGAGTCGCCAGCAGGCAGAATATAAATGTTAAAGCAAATCCCGCATTGAAGTAGGCGGAAATGCCAAAGATCCACGTCAGGCCGAGCAGGAAAAAGAGCAGTGCGAAGAGTCGGAATTGCTGGAAAATCAGTTGGCCGTTGCGATGCCGCAGCTGAGCTACCCTAAAGAGGATGCGGACAAAGATGCAGACATTGGCACTCAGCACCAGGCCAATGGGCAGCAGCACGCCATAGATCAGACCCGCACCGGCTGGATAGCAAACCACGGCGAATTGCCCGGACATGACGGGCGTATACGAGTCGGGATCGATTAGGATCAGTAGCAGCGTGGGCAGCAGTGGCACCACCCACGCTATGACTGCCACGTGCTGCACAATGTTCTCCGTGCGAGCGATGAGCACTGTGATGTGCTTGCGATACTGCAGGCAGCCAACGAGCAGCATCCAGCTGAAGAGGAACAGCACAGCGTATTGGAACGTGGCGCCCAATGCACGGCATGACCAACTGGCCTCGGCAAAGGAGTAGTGCACGGACCACTCATTGACATACAGCAGCGCCATGAGCACGAAGAGCAGCGTCAGCGCCACGCACATGTTGAGCAGCAGCTTGGTCGACTGCATCGAGCGCCACTTCTTCGAGATGGCCGCCGTCAGCCAAATGATCAACAAGCCAAACAGCGACAGGCCACAGCCAACGGCTGTGGTCGTATCAAGCACACACTCCAGGCGATCCGTGTACTGCGGATGGTGTAGACCATAGATGCAGTTCCTCTGCTTGTAGCTGGCGCCCACCAGGAAGGCAAACTGCGTCAAGTGATTCGTAAAGCAAACTACGACCGGATCGTAGGACAAACTCCTTGTTTCCGTAGTTATGCCCTTCTTCATCCAGCTGCCATAGCTCCAGTACGCGCAGTAGCTATTGAATTGCTTCCTCTTCCTATATGCCTCATCGTAATCCTCGTTGCGTAACAGAAAAACCAAGGGATAGGGCAAGTGTGCTGCAATGAGAAGAGTTGAGGCAGATAGGTAACTCCAGCGGGGTTGTCTTATATGTGAGCTAAGTGAACGTGGATTCCTCAATGGATTCCTTAAAAGTGAAGAGCGTTGTACAAAGTCTTTCCTTTTCTCCTTTCGACTGTTCTGTCAGTCTGTTCATTCGTTCGTCTATCTGTTCTTCCATATGTTGCTTGACATGCCCGGCCCTTTGGTCAGTCCGTCTGTCTCTTCGTCTCCTTCTATCAGTCCATTACCTCGCTTATCTGTTCGTCTGCTTCTCCTTGATATGTTCCGCCGATAGGTCTGCCGATCTGGTCGTCTGTACATCCATCCATCTGTCCCTCCCTCTATCCTTCCGTCTGTCCCTTCGTCTCTTCGTCTTTACCTTCGTCTGTCCTATCGGCTACCCTTTTTCGTTTGTTACTCCTTGATATGTCCTGTCTGTACTTCTATCCATCTCTTCCTCCATCTCTACCTCCGTCTGTCCTTCTGTTTGTATCTCTGTCTGCATCATCGTCAGTGCCTCCTTCTGTCCCTTCGTCTATCTATTCGTCTTTCCGTTTCTCCTTGATATGCCTCGCCGATAGGTCCTACAGGTCTTTCGCTTTGTATGTCTCTATGTCCATGAGCATCTATCCGTCCGTTTTCCATCCGTCTGTCCCTTCGTCAATCCCTCTGTCTATCCCTTCGTCTGTCCCTCCGTCTGTCCTTCCGTTTGTCCTTCCGTTTGTCCCTCTTTCTGTCCCTCCGTCTATCCCTCCGTCTATCCATCTGTCTGTCCCTCCGTCTGTCCCTTCGTCTGTCTATTCGTTCTTCTATCATCCGTCCATTTATTAATTCATTCATCTGTCTGTCCGTCAGTCTCTTCTTGATATGATATGAACCCTGCTAAATAAAAAGATCGATAAATATATAAATACTTACTGGATACTTGAGGTATACTAATGGAGAGTATATGACTGGCAGGCTTTGCGCTTCCCTTGTCCGTGGACAAGTCAACAAAGAGGGCACTGTTCGCATAGATCTTAAACACCAGATAGCTAGTTCCGGCATCTTTGAGAGCCTCCCAAAGGTCCCTTGTTAAGTAGCTGGCCGTAAGGAGAGCGGATTCCTCTTTGAGCACGTCCAGACTCTGATTGGCATAGAGAAAACGATACCAGAAGCCATGATGTCGGCAGCCCTGACGCCCTGGACCTGCCTCCGTGTAAATAGCAATGCCTGTGTATGCATTGCACTCGGGAAACAGATAGAAGACACTCAGAACTCTGCCAATCAGCGCCTGGACACCGTTGTGCATCTTGACATCGATCAGCTGTTGGGTCGGGTCAACTGGAATGGACTCGTTGCAGCTCTTCAACTGCGGCGCCAGACCATTCGTATAGTCTTCAAACGTGTAGAGTAGATCGTTGGTGGCATTCAGCTGAGCGGAGAGCTCCAGCTCGGCGCTATTCGTGGCCATGAGACCGTTATAGACGCCGATCAGTTGCATGCACACAGCCACGTCCTTTGGCTCCTTGGCCACTTGGCCGATTATTTTGTTGACATTCAAGACGTCGACGGCCCCAATTTTGTGGCTCTTCTGATTGATCAAATTGCTGACGTTTCTCATCACAATCAACGGATAATTGAAGCTGGCTCGATTGGATATTCCCATGTTGAGCTCGTACTGCCACTCGTTGAGAATTTGGCTCTCCATGCTAATTGTTTGAGTGGACCGACAGGTGATGTTCCGGCCCAGCTCCGCCCACTGCCGATTCGCTAGGCAACTGCGCACCACTGGCAACCCGCTGCTCTGCACGCACAGCTCCTTGGTCAAAGCAAACTCATTGATCGGCGTCAATGGAAAGGAGTTGCTGTAGTTACGCAGACTGAAGCTGCCATCCTCATGCCGGCTCTCATAGAAGTGTGTAAATGCTATGGGTAGACAGTAAGGCAGCGCCGCACCGCCTGCGACGAGGCTTAACCCCAATAAGGCGACGCTGCGCGAAAACATCCTGAGCGAGCGAGCGATCGATGCAAGCCAAACCCGCGAACTGAGAGGCCCAGCGCAGTCACTGTTCAATTGAACTTTAATTATTAAGTCTAAGTCATAACTGTGGTATATCATAAATATAACTTGAAATTTAGAACTATGAGTTGACTTATATATAAATATATATGTATATAGTGGAAGTTCCTGTGCAACAAAAGGACAGCATTACGCGATCTGCAGCTCTATAGAACTGCACATTATTAAAGGATATTCAGGCTATAATATTCTAATTAAAGTATTTTAATCATAAAATATATGTCCATCTCTGAATAAGAATTCTTACACATATTGCCTCTCAGAGCATTTATCGATTGTTTGTCACTAAAAGTAATCGATAACATTTACCATGTCTTTCGATGCCTTTGATCTATGAATCCATGAGACATTTAGTTCACCTACAGTTAATATATAGACAATGCTATATAGCTACACTGACGAGCAAAACTGTAACACACGTTCAATGTTCTCACTTCAACGGTCTGTATTATCTTTTCTACTTTATGCATGATTATGATCATAGTCTTGTTTTGTTAGTGAAATATTTGGCTCTTTTATTTATAAATTTGAAGACATTTGATTAGCAATAAGAGAAATACAATAGCAAAGAGTAAAAAAAGTCAAATGTTACAGTTTTGCACTGCAAATATTTTTAAACAAATATTTTTATTAAATTTTTTTTAATAACGGGTCCACAGCCCTTTTGATTTTTTGAGGTTGTTTATACGGTTTGGCATACTTTGCGTGTAGCGTCGCACCATTTCAGGTGGAATCGAGTACCAAACGTCCTTCGTTCTCTCTCACAACTCCATCCTGCCATTTGGAGGGGCCGTATATTTCGCAAGCTGCGATTTCAGATGACTCCATACATTTTCTATGGGATTCATGTCTGGAGATTGCGGTGGCCACTTCATAGTTTGAAACTTTTGGTTCAATAACCAATTTTTCACCAAATGGGATGTGTGCTTTGGGTCATTGTCTTGCTGAAAAATGCAATTTTCAACAGCCAGACCCATGTTGCCAATGACTCCTCCCAAATTTTCTTGAAAAATGTTTAGGTATTGCTCCTTACGCATTATCCCATCGATTAACAGTAAGGGCCCAACTCCATTTGTACAAATACAGCCCCAAACCATTATGGACCCGCCACCGTGCACCGCACTGTATTTGCCGATTGGACTGTGGGATTCCTAGTCCAATACCACGATCGTCCGTCTGACTTAAAACGATTAATTTTAGTTTCGTCTGACCAAATAACCTTGAAAATTTATTTTTTTAGCATTGTTTAAGCTTTTTATTTGTAACTTACGGCATCCCAATCAGCTAGACCCCAATTTTCATGCATTATAGCACAGTTTCTAACGCAAACTAATGTGCCTGTTAGCTAGAAATGGTTTTTTTTTTCTTTCATTGGCCTTAAGCCCCAATCTGCCGAGACTGCGACGGACTGTCCACTCACTGGCATTTAAATTTAACACATTAGCCGCTTTTATTGGCATAAAGTCGCGATTGCCTGTAACTAAGTTAGCCAAGTGGCGCGTGTCACGTTGGCTTAAAAGTCGCGGTCGGCCTCCTTTATTGATTTTAATGTTTTCTGAACTGTTTTTGTTTTTAACACTGCACAGTCATGTGGCTAACACCAAATTTATTAGCCACTTTCCTAACGGATTCGCCCCTATCAATAATTCGATTATTTCCTTTTTCTTTTCATCAGCCATCATAATTATTTTGCATATTGACTTAAAATGATCAAGGCTTATCGATTTAAACAAAAACAAATAAGTTTTAATGGTAAAAAAAGCTTTGAAACAAAAGTAAAAAGGTTTTGCTCTGCGAGTGCAAAACTGTAACATTTGACTTTTTTTACTCTTTGCTATTGTATTTCTCTTATTGCTAATCAAATGTCTTCAAATTTATAAATAAAAGAGCCAAATATTTCACTAACAAAACAAGACTATGATCATAATCATGCATAAAGTATAAAAGATAATACAGACCGTTGAAGTGAGAACATTGAACGTGTGTTACAGTTTTGCTCGTCAGTGTACAATCACGCAAAGTTCAGGGTATTTCATAGTCAGTCAGTGCTTAATTACTTTATATTTAATTGCTGAAAGTAATAATAATTATTATTAAAATAAATAACTGTTTGACTGATGTCATTTATTGATATGAAAACATTAATCATATAATTAAAGTCAATTTTCTTAGCAAATAAACTCTTATCTCTTTGGCTTTAATTCATTCACTTGCTATAATTAATACTGAATCATTTAGTTTTTATATATAATAAAGAAAAGATTTTATTAAATATAAATATATTAATTATTTAATTAATATTTAAGTTAAAATAAAACATAGCTAAAAAATTTAAATAAGTTAATATATATCAGAAAAATTATATAAATATATATATATATATATATATATATATATATATATCTATATATATATGTATATATATATATTATATATATATTACAAAAAATTAAACTTTTAGTTAAATTTGTTTTTTAAGAAACTAGCAAAAAGAAGCCTAAAAACTTATTCAAAATCTATTTTATTTTGGTTTTCTGCTGCTGCTTAAGTTTTCTCTAGAGATAAAATCTAGATAAGCACACACTCACACACCAACACACACACTTACAACACCTATAGCTAGTTGTACTTGTATTGGAAATTGTCGACCTCTTCTCAAGTTTTTTGTTAACTAAACCCACACGACTTAGACTTAAAACTTTGTGACAACATCAGCTACGTCTTTATTTTACAGAAAAAAAATAAGTCAAAAAAATATGCTAAGAATTTGTTCACTCAAAAAAACGTCAATAAAATGCAGTTACTTTGCTCGTGATGGAAATGGAAAATCTGAGCAGAAGTTTTTAGCTAAACTTTTCGCTACTTTTCTATGCATTTGCCTTGCTGACAACGTTGAATTCGAACTTTTTGAGCCATGGACACAGATCTCCCAAAACTTATGTGTAACACAAACTAGACTAAGGCAAGTTTATGGAATAAATACTAAAAACAAGAAGCAACGAAAAGGATTTAGATCTGAGAACGTCAGACGGACTTGTTTGTGGACTTTCACAGAAAAATACTTTTAAAAACTTTTTTTAGACAGAATTAGACAATGTTTTCAAAAACTAAAAAATTTAAAATATAAATAAATAAATATCTAAATATATATATTTATAAATATTAATTTTTTTAGGTGATTAATAAATAATATTTAAATAAATTAAATATATTCTTTTTTCAATTTATAAAATATAGTTTTTAAGTAATTTTAAAACTTATTAAAATTTGTTTGCTATATATTTACAATTATAAGCTCGCGACGATATACCCTTTAACTATCAGAGCTACGCTTGTTAGTCCAAAAACAAGGCTCGACCATAACTGTATCAGCCATTCACATAAATCCATAAATGTTTCTATATTGTATATTGATGAGAACTCGATTGTATTGCAACTATTCCCGCAGGTATTACGCATGCATGTATAATATTTCAAGCAATCAGGCAAGAGGCAGAGAGTCAAGTGGCAGCAACTCTGCAGCGAGCGGCGTATAAGTAATTGGCAACAATTGGCTGCCAAAAGTTGACTTGTCGAAGCCATCAAATGGCAAAGGCATAAAATAGTCGCAATTCATAAAAATATATACAGATAGATATAGATATATATATGCATATATGTTTGCTTGATATGGGCAATAAAAGCAGCAGTTGGATTTAAGCGCTGTTTCATGGAACTGTTAAAGATTTTATGGAGTCGAAGGCAAAAGTTGCTGCAGACCATCAGGCAGATAATTTAGATAAGGAAAGTAGTAAAAATATATAGTTAAGCTGAGCAATAATAATCACAGGAATAATTATTCTTTCATATATATATTTTATATATATATTTATAATTGTATTTATTTGTTCTAAAAGAGAATATCTTTTGTTTTTCTTTCACAGCCGCAGTCCTAGCAACGACGTCGTAGTCTACGCAGCCGTCGCTGCCGCTGATCGATCACATGATGTGGCCATCTACCGGACAGTAGCTGCAACTGCAGTGGCAGCAAGTGCAATTTTAGCATATTGAAAGTTAAGTCACTTAGAATTAAATAACAATTCCATTATCTTAGAATAAATTAATTTATGATAGTTTTATATATACCATATATATATATATATATATATATATATATATACAGCTAGCAGATTAAACAGATATACAGATTGATAGACTTACTTCTAAGTAGAAAGGCAAACAGACAAACCCACACAGATAGGCAGAGAGATGCAGATAAGATAGTTACGAGTGTGAGTTAGTAACTTCTTGGCCTTGTTAATTATATATATACATAAAATTAGAACAAATGATGTATTCCCATCTTTCATTTACATTCAAATAAGAAAGTTTCAAACTGTTTCCACAAAATATTTTCCTGAACTTAACTGAAAACCTTATGCTTCTAAATGTAATAACAAATTTCTTAAGAATAATAATTAATTTTATTTATTTTAAAAACTATTCAAAGCACAGCTAAAAATATTTTGTTTTGGCTTGACAAAAATAAAATTAAATTATTAAACTACTCTCGTTGCAACTTGGGCCGCAGCTCAAAATATTTTTGGGTCAAAGCGATAAATGCTTATAATATCATATGCCGGCAACAGTAAATAGAAACAACAAGAACAAAAACATGAACATGCCAAGTTCAGAGCATGTGACATAAACTATGTTATGCGGGCTTCTGCTTCAAGGAGACGACGGAACTGTTGCAAACGCGACCTCCGTCCTGCAGCTACAAAGTAGCCCAATTTGCATCCTAATGAATGGTGTGAAACTGTTTGAACTTGTCTGGGTGTGTGCAGGGAGGTGTGTGTGCGCGCGGGACGACGACAAATTCTCAACAAATTGCAGAGGAAAAATTCAAATGGTTGAAGCTAAAATGGCAACACAAATTAGTTGAA